AGTTGTCAGGAGAGTAAGACGGAAGAGAATTTAAAGAAGTAAAACGACGAACTTAGTTGTCTACCCCCGAATAGTGTATGGGATTTTAAGGGGATAGGCCATTTGGACGCAGTCCTTGTGTCGCTGCATGATTGTCCAGCCTTCGCTTAAAGAGTCCACTGACGGTGCCACATCTACATCTACCTTAAGGGATTCCCGCAGTGAAAAGAAGTGGGAGCGCACCCGGGTCCTTGCCCTCTGGTGAGCTATCCTTCCGGGATTTCCATGACGAAGCCTTTACCTACTCAATGGCAGAACACCTTTGTTTGGGTGATTCTGGTCATTTGTTATTTTGTAGGCAGTAATCAAATCCCCCTTAAGCCGACGGTAGCTAAGTGTGAATAGTCCTAATTTCTTTAGCCTTTCATCATATGGTTTATTTTGGAGACCAACCACTCCTTTTGTTGCCCGTCGTTGGACTCTTTCTAAGAGGTTGGCGTCTCTTCTAAGCAGTGGGGGTGCAATAATATTATTCACTTCAAGGTGTGGTCTGACGTATGTTTTGTACGACCTTAGAAAGAGCTCAGGAGTGAGTGCACCCAATTGTCTATGTGTAAAGTGTATGACCGCATATGCCCTCGCTACATCCGCCGTGTAATTTACGCTTGTGTCCATTTTCTCCCTTAGAACTAGACCTAAGTCACGCTCCGACGCAGTAGAGGACAAGCTTTCGTTGCACAGGATGTAACTTGGATTTCGCAGCCTTCATGTGCGTAACTTCACCACTTTGCACTTTTTCAGGTTGAAAGTCATGCTACTGGCCACCGCCCAGTCTTCCAGAAGATTTAGATCTGCCTGCAGCTTATCTGAGTCCTCCGGACACCCTATTGCCCTCCATATCTTTACGTCGTCAGCGTATAGAAGAGTCCGGCAGCTTAGACGGTATGGTAGATCATTGATAAAAATCAAAAACATCAGTGGTCCTAGGATAGAACCCTGTGACACTCCTGATGACGAGCTGTGCCAAGATGATCGGATTCAGTTGACCTTAGTGCAAAATTGCCTTTCAACTAGGTAGTCCTTTAACCATGACAGAAGTGGCTTATCTATACCTGCCTGGCTTATTTTGTGTAGGAGGAGGTCATGGTGAACTGTGTCAAATGCCTTCTCAAAGTCTAGGAAGACCACATGGACTGGAACATTCATATCCCAGCATGATGTTCAATCGTCCCAAGCTGATAGTAGGTTTGTTACACAGGATCTGCCTTTCCTGAAACCGTGTTGGGCTTCATGGAGTATATTAGACCTATCGAGATATTCCCTGATGTGATCGTCATTAATACTATCCAGTACTTTTAATACCACTGGGAGTAGAGCTACTGGTCTATAACTAGTGGCATTTTGCCTGTCCCCACCCTTGAAGATATGAGAAAGGATGGCTCTTTTCCACTCCCTTGGTAGTTTCCCCGAATCCACTGAGTGTTGGAACAAGTCGCATAAGGGCCTACAGAGAGCTTCAACGCACTGTTTCAGAACAGATGGCCTGATGTCGTCACAACCTGGGGACTTCCCAGGTGTGAGTCTCTGTAGCTTCCTTAGTACTATTACCGGGTTTATTTGGGGAGTAGCCACTAGGTCTTCCTCCTCTGAAATAGTAGTGTCGCCATTTTAGTCTTTACCGGTAATATCCACATCGTTGTTTAACTGTTTGGAGAAGGTTAAACTGAATGTTTCCACCATCTCCAGGCTAGTGAGATATTGACCGTTTGGGCCTACTAAGGCGCATGCCCCCTGGTTGGTTGGTTTTCTTTCCGACATGAATCGGTACAAGTTTTGGGTTTGCTAGGAGTATTTTGGCAAGGTTAGCCTGGAATGACCTCCTGTCCCTCCTGACTCTCGCGTTGCACTGGTTCCTGAGTTCCAGATATGTATTGTGGCCGGTCTAACCCTTGGATAATCGCCACGCAAACCAAGCCTCCCGCTTTGCTTGCAGAATACCTTGCGTGCCTCTCTTCAGCCATGATGAATTTCTTTTCGGCTGTGTTGTGACTAAAGGGACGGTATCCGAGATTGCTGTATGAATAATCTCTTTTACCACTTCCCAGTGTTCATCCACAGATAACTCATTCCATGCTAAGGGCCAGTCTGCGTCGGACAAGAGCCTCCGCATTTCAGCATGGTCCGCCTTGCTATAGCACAGACATGGTCGCGTAACGCCCCACTGCAAGTGCTCACGGAGAACAAGGTCGAAACCTATGACTGCATGGCCACTACTTCCTAGAGGAGTCATGATCTGGACCTTTTCGACGAGTAGATTCTTAGAATGTAGTCTAGTTTCGATGACTTTTCACTAGGGCCCCACCTAGTGTCGTCACCAACATTCTCAGTCAGTGCAGTATTTCGAATTTTCGCCGAATTTTCCCTTAGCATACCCCGAGCCAAGGTTCAGTGATATAGCAAAGTATATAGCAACTCCCCCCTTCCTTATTATCCCTGTGTCTCCTGACCAGAACCATGTCACCTATACTGATTTCATTGTCGGTGATAATGGGGGCTAGCCAGGTTTCAGTGAGAATGATTATTTTAAGTTGTAAGTGTGACTGGAGATTTCTGAGTTCGTCTACTTTTCCTCTCAGTCCTCTCACATTGCTATATAGGCAGCTGACAGTGAGTCTAACAACCTCAGCGTGTTGTGGGGTAGTTGACGTTAAGCTGTCTGCTGGTAGGGGACTTAATGTTGGGACTAGTTGGCCGATTCCGATGGAACCGGCCCGTTGTAGTTTTCTTCCATGGATTCAGGTAGGACACTTGGGTGACACAGACCGTTATTCTCAGTACCGCATCGCTCTGGTGTCACTGAGGCTTGGGGACGTATTAAAGCCTCAGTTTGCTGCCTCCTTATGGTTCGAGGTCCGCTTTCGCAGCATCGGATGTGTCCTCTCATTTTCCCCTTGGTCTCATACCACCGTTGAAGTAATATGGCCAACTGCTCCTGGGAGTTGAATGTGACACTTAGCAGCCTTGGAGAACTAATCAGTGTGAGATGAGCGGGCGAGGTAGTCGGAAGATGGAGATTGCTCCAGAAGCGCCAAGGGCCATCTGAGATGACAGCCATCTCCATTGCTGTACGTCATTCATGTGTTTTTCACCAACAATGACAGTGTCCAGCTCCGGAACACCATGTACGACCATAGAGGTAGAAGGCATCAGTTCCGGTGACTCCCTCGCCATTTGCCTGTTAGCCCATGGTCTATCATGTCTCACCCTTATGCTAGAACTCCTGTCGATGGCTAGTACGTGGGCCAGTAATAGTATCCTTTCGGCCTCTTCGACAGAGTCCAGTGTAACACTTAGTGTGGTTGGCTTACCCTGAGGCGTGTGGACATCCCTGTACGGCCTGCACAATTTCGCTGAAATATTGTTCAGACCTGATTTATTGCACAAATTGGACCACTGTTCCTGATCAAACAGGGCCCGTTGTTCAAGCAAGCTATCCTTGCTCACAGGTACACTGAAAAGGATAAGAGAATTAGACCGACTGACCTCAGACTTAGGTTTGGCTTATGGCTTTGTATTCCTTTGCAGGGTCAGTGACTTTAGGCTTCATCAGTTTTTGACCAGCCTTTGCTGTGTTGCCAAGCTTGCTAGTGGATGCAAGTGGTGCTTTGGCAATTCAATCTTTCCCTGATGTTGTAGGTGCAACCTTGAGACTCTTCAATTTATGAAGATTGGCATTTCCAGTCAGTTAGAGGCGAAAAAGCACGTAGTATTCAAGGAGCGCGCTTTTAATAATATGCTTCGTTTGCCAACAGAAATGGTGAAAATGCCATCAGTTCCTTAATAGTAGCATACCCAGACCTAGAGTTTGGAATTCTCTTGTTATACAAGTATTGAACAGTGTTTTTGTTTGTATGCTGAAAAGCAGCATGTAATCGACCTTCGCCATGGGATGTAAATTCTGGCCGGTTGAGAACAAGATTATCGATGTCCGAGACAAATGCTCCTGTTATAAGCCCAATAAAGAGTTTTTTGGCTGGTGGGTTCGGAGGTGCCTGCTGTATTACAATTGGTCACCCATTTGACACTATAAAGGTTTGCTTTGTATATGTTAATCATAGTTCTTATTAAATTTAACTACATTTTATTCTTGTGAAGTAGTTTTATGTGACTACTTTCGTCAGGAAGTCATTGGTTTTTTAATATACGAATACGCTGTCCTTACCCCGCACTTTAATGTTATGGATAGATTGAGATTTTCATGCTTTGTACATATTCCGCAGTCATTATGACATCCTTTATTCATGATGAAAGTTAACGTTTGCGAGTAAAACCTTGCAACTAGAGCTGTGTAAGATCCTGTATAAGATAGTGACACTGCTTAAACTGATTTTCGAGCTGTGGCATCACGATCATGTGTTCTTAAACCGTATGCTCATAATGTACATTGGAGTTATTGCGCTTGCATATTCTAATTAAGTACCATTTTTTAGGCTTAGTACGCAAAAGTCTGAGTATTCGAAGGAAAGTGAGTGAACTTTGAGTGTAGAAATTTGTTCAGTATACAAATACAACTCACATGTTTCTACGTAGTCCTTTTCCTTTAACTTTTACAGCCTTTCTTCACCTGAGCTGGTGTTTCTTCATTGAGATGAAAAAGCTCGCTATCATTATATTCTAAAAGTACTATATTCAAAAGTACATCTGTTACTTACATCCTCTGCAATCAAGCATCTCGCGTCCATATGAATAAGTCAAGTTGTAAGAAATGTGGCGGCATATGTCATCAGTATGATGAAAAATCCATTGTTTAGTACTGCAACTTTTTTTATTTATTTGAATAGTATGCACACGGAAAATATGCATTCGTAACAGATTATGTTCTCTTTGTAGTTGAAATGTAACATCCTAGTATTATATCCTTAAATAACTTGTTATTGGCATCGATGAGAGAAAATGCTTGGTGTGTGTCGTTCTTCAAAATTTCAGGGTGTTATGTCTCATTTTTATCGTAAAAGTGAGGCATCTTAAAAGCGATCTAGGTAGATACTCGAAATGAAAAACAGAAAATTAGAAAACACGAATCAGAAAAACGCGTAATTCATCTCTGAAGCAAAGCTGTTAGGTAACCTATTTCGACCAGCCGAGTAAAGAAATAATTTTAAATTAAGCTTCACTTCTTTGCTAAACCAGATATGTAACACTTCTGGCACCTTTTCATCATAGAAGTGTATTTCGGTTTCGATATGGTTGGTTTATCTGGAACTGAATTTTCAACGTGGAACTTTGCACTAAAGTAGCCAAATTCCATAAGTGCAGACAAAGGTAGAAAAGAAAAATGCAGAGGAAATCTGTGCCTGGAGTATCCTTATATTTCTAGAGGTTTTCCTTTGTATCCTGATTTGAGACTTCTCAACAGTTTTAACTGTGAAAAGGTAGTTACGTTGTACTGAGTCTTAAAATTGCTGGAAGCACCTATCAGTATTTTTAACCAAGTGAGATCAGCTTGTTCTTAGTGCGATCATATCGTATATCTAAGTAAGGCTATTTTTACCGATTTCAGCTTATACTTAACAATATTGGGGTATTTTTAAGGGGAATAAAGCATTTTTGGCCATTTATCCGGTAATCCGATTATGCGGATTAGTTTGCTAACACTCGATATCCAATGATAAGTATTGTATTTTTGATGGTTCTTATCGTTTAAATTCATTTTAGCAATGCTATTTTCTAGGTCAGACTGCAGACAATGCCTCATGTCCAGGCAGGATCAACACCTTTATATTATGGAACTGTTGATTGTATTAAGAAAACTGTAGCTGCAGATGGCATCTTGGGTCTGTACAAGGGTATGGCGGTACCTGTAGCTGGAGTCGCACCTGTATTCGCCACCTGCTTCTTCGGGTACAATTTAGGCAAAAAGATTTTCGCCGAAGATCCTATGAACTTAAGGTATATTTTATGCTTTAATTAATCTAACTGCTGTAGGAAACATGAACTTCTGTTGGCGGGGATGTTCTCCGGTATTTTTACTACTGCAATTTTGGCTCCAGGAGAACGCATTAAATGTCTTTTGCAGGTAAGATCAGTTGCATTGTTGTTAGAACAAATGTTCGCATGAAAATCCTTGTTGTGTTGCAGGTTTTTATCTCATACGAATAGCTTATTCTCTTTAGATATAAATAGTATTATGTGACATGCACCTCTTGTTATGGATCTGCTTTTCATTCTGTTTTCTATTCGTAACCACTATGTGTTCATAATTAGTAGTGTCCAAATTCCAGGTATGCAATATCTACGTTCGATACCCGGCCGACGCACTCCTTTACCTCGCTAAGCTAGTAGTAAGACTGGTAAAGAGGGAAGGTTGGGCATGAGGCTAGCAACCCCATCCTGTAAAAATAATCACCACTGCTACAGAAACTTCAAGCGTCTAGCTTGGAGCCCTATGTTCCACTGGGGAACGTAAAGGAATAAAAAAATACCTACGTTGTCTATTCCTTTGCGAGTTGCGTAATGGTACTCGTTCACATTTAATCGCTCAGCCATGTTGTATTGACCACGTTCTAAATTGTTTGCAACCATAGTGAAACCGACAAAATATAGCGAACCGAAGATGGGTGATGATCAGGATGGCTTTGTGTGTACTCACAGAATTGTGTGGACGGTTATTACTTCCCGACTGGTCACACCGTGGAAGTTTGCTTCTTGGAACACAAAGAGTATTAGTGTTGCATGATCGCAAAGCCAAAACACAATCATTGCGGTATGTTGTTTCTACAAGGTTTCATTTCATCTTAGTTTCTTACATGTGATGGAAACTGCTTCTTGGTGGTTGCGATATAATACTAACACATGTGTTGTGCACATGTTTTGGGGTTGAAAATGACTATTGCCCACACTAGCTGTAACTTCATCACATAATCTTGTCGAAGGCAGACACATGTAGCTACACCTGCTTGTTTTCATCAAGCTAATAACACCACATCTTTGATTTTCCAAGGAGTTTAGTAAAGAAGTAGAACTGTTGAAACACTAGTTTTTACATCAAAATTTTCATAGGACTTTTGTGCTGCAGAATTCCATGACATTTCCAGTTTTATGCTTTCTTTCTGGTTATTACACATCTATTCAAAATCTGGCGTACTAGTCTGAGGCTAGTACAGCTGTCATATAACTTTACGTCATGTAGTTTTGCCTATTTTAAGATATCATCTATTTCACATGAATCCGACTTCCTGGTGAGTTTCAGGCTTTTTAACTGTGGTACTTTTGTGAAGGCTTTAACCTCAGAAACTAGCTCTCAAAATCCAGTCACGTGAACGGAATTCTCAGTTGTTTAGGTCGTAAACTCGCTCTACATAAAATCATCACCTACTTGGTTAGCTGGCTTTTTACAGTGGTAATTTAGGTCACTGAGTTGTTTCACAGATAAGGGTTTTCATTGTTTATAAGCTGACATTTGTTGATGGGCTAAATTGAACTGTCATTCTAACTTCTTAATTCCGTATTATATCTTTTATAACGTCCCACTAAATTAACTGATCGCACTTTAAATAACTTTCACTTATATTTTCTTATATTCATGTCTGGATGGACTTTAATCATTTCCAGAATATCACCTAATCGTACTAATGTATAATTTACAGGTTCAGTCTAATTCGTGTGGACCTGTGAAGTATAAGGGACCGGGTGATGTTTTTCGTCAGTTGTATCGCGAAGGTGGACTTCGGAGTATTTTCAAGGGGACAGCTGCAACTCTTTTACGAGGTATGATTGTTAAGTGTTAATACTGTATTATACCCATTTTTGTTTAATTTCATCATAGGTGCACTACTGGAGTCGACCCTAAGTGACTTTAGCGACTTAGGGGTTGACTTTTTACCAGGGAATAACCTTGTCGACTTACAGCATGTTAATGATATTGTCCTCCTACGTGGAAACGCTGACAAAATGCAGTCTTCTGAACACCTTGGGCAGAAATCTTCATATGTTTGGCATGTGATTAGCTCCTGTCAAATATAAGATGATGCAGGGCTGGACTACACTGACTCCTAGCTTAAAGATAGGGAGTGAAATGGTAGAGCGTGTTGACCATTTCACTTACTTTGGAAGTTGTATCAGCCCTAATGAAATGATTACTCATGAAGTCTCAGCATGGATACAAAAGACTTGTCTGGCACTTGCCAACTTACTTCATCTCTGACTTGGACGTGATATCCGGTTATCGATCAAAGGACGTGGTGTGTACTGCACAGCAGTTCACTCTGTCCTTTTTTATTGCCGTGAGATGTGGCCATTTAAAGCGGAAGGTATGAAAAGGCTAGCTGTCTTTGACAACAGATTTTTACGTTCCATCTCTCATGTTGAATGGCATAATATGGTGAGTAATATTAGGGTTAGGCGTAGAGTGTAAGATAAAGAAGAGACGTCAATAGATGAAGTTGTGAAGCCACATCGACCAAGATGGTTAGAACATATGTTACGCATGCCGAGTCATCGCCTTCCTCAGCGAGCAGTGTTAGCTGACATAGAATTAGACTGGAAAAGAATTAGGGGTGGTCAAATCAGAACCTGGAATCAGTCCATGAAGTCTTTGACTGTTGGTTTAAACCAGTCACGTAGAGAGGTGTAGACTGCCTGGTTGGAGTCCTCACGATGCTGAGGATCAGTGACTGGAGACTATTGGTGGTATGGTTAAAAATCGTTGTTCGTGGTGCAGATAAATTTACTGTTTGTAATCCCACAGACCCATGAAACCTTGATGTTTTTCCATGTTACTATTCTTTCTCCCTTACGTTTCTGCTCATTACAGTTTTATTTGAATTTCTTTTTCTCTACTTTGGTGTGTAGAGTGTGTCAACTTGAACTGTTGAACATTTGTGCAAATTTCTGTGTTAAAACTCGATCATGCTGTAACAAAATTTTTCTAATGTGACGCTAAGTCGTTTTAAAGTTTATCTTGTTGGCTTATCTCAAACAGGTGAAATATACGGTTTTGTATCACCATATCCATTTTATCATTGTGAAATAGAAACCCATTCTTGAAAGAATTAGTTCTTCGTCAACTAGTTAATGTAGTGCCTTTTAGTAACTTGTTTCTATGAGAAGCCCATGAAGACTGAAGCTCTGTGAATAAGCAAACTATCAGAAAGCTGCCTTTCACCACAAAATGATTAGATTTGCAAATACCAGTGAATGTATTCTGACCCAGGGATTGTAGGATGATTACACACTTGTAAAATCATATATATATACTTGGTGAAGGGATGTTTATGATGTACACCTTATCTCTAAATCGTAATTTGCACAGATCTTCCGTGTTGTGCTACTTCTGCCCTTTGTACTGTGCTTCTTTGTCTTCTTTTCGTGTCTTTTCCGTGTTTTTCCGCAACGCTGAATCATTTGCCTCTCTTTGACGTCAAATCCATCTCACCGCTATTTGATATTTTTATGCCACTGAATGCCCCCTTATATACTACTGATAAACTTTATCAGCAGCAGACGCTACGTATATGCATTTATCCTAAGTTGGATAACGGTTCGTCTCATCAATATACATTAATGCGTAAATGTTATTTTACATGTGTAAATCATTTAGTCTTCAATATTTGTCCGATTTCTTAAAAATTCATACATCCCATTAATATTAGAGTTTTGTCAGGCGGAAAGGAAATAATTTAAATAATCTCGTTGACATTGTTTTAGTTATTTTCAAATAAATATCGGATGGGAAATAAGTGAATTGTATCCAACAAACGCGAATAGGATTTTCCAATAGTATAATGTCAAACCAACTAATATGTGTTCACAAGTCAATGATAGTCTTGTTGAATGATCTGATGCTAATTTGCAATTTGTTGAATGTTTCCGGGGGATGTGAAGAAATTTGTGTCAAGCTGTCATACACTCAGTCTAACTCAGTTTATGTCTCTCACTGCCAAACTTCTTAAATCCACGGTTAATTACTTATAAAATTGTTCATATAATTATTTTACGATTATATACAACAGTTTGCACACCTTTAGGTCGATTATATATTTTTTTTAAAGAGCTAAATTCATACAAAGGTACTCGAAATAGTTCATTAGATTATCAAGAATGTGGTTTCGTCCAATCGTAAATAGTTAAAATGTAATGTATGAAGTCAGCACAAATCACGTATTCCACTTGTAAAACAGAACTGTTCCAACACTTTTTGTCTGAAAAAAAGTTATTGTGTGTATTTTTATTTATTCGACCAAAGTATTTTGAGGTGATTTTGTTATTTTAACATTTCATTTGTTACTCTGTTATTACAATTTTTAGAATTTTGTACACCCGTCCGTTTCTAAACTACAGACTAAACAAGTACTCATTTTCACTTAGATAAAACACTTTAAGCAGGTCACCTTTGCCATAGATCATTTTTTTTTATGGATAAACCATGCACGTCTATCGGTTAGTGGTTAAATAAACTCAGTGGAGAATATTCATAACTTCATTTTTTTTTACAAAAATATAGACACAATGAATAAAAATCAGAGTTGTAAAAAGTGATATATATTTTGTCATTCATCTCCAAATCGAAAAACATAGTACCTCCTCAGGTGGATGATTTTGAGCTCCTCTGAGCTGGGTGGTTTAATTGCAAAGCCTTTATTGTCTTTCTAGAGAACATCCTCAGAGTAGACTTCAGTATGGAGTAGATCTATTTGAATTCTCCATGAATGAGGTTAGGTGTCGAGTGCTAGTTAGTGAGGGGAAATCAATAGACGAGGCTGGGAAGTTACATCGATTGAGATGGTTAGGACATGTGTTACGCATGCCTGCCTAGCCATCGCCTTCCTTGACGGGCAGTGTTAGACACTGACATAGGATCAGGTTGGAAAAGAGCTAGCTATTGGTGGTCAAACAAAAACATGGCTTCATCAGTCAATGCAATCCACAACAGTTAGTTTAAGCCACATAGGAAGGTGTAGACTCCCAGGCTGGTTGGGATCCTCGGGACGGTAAAAACCAATGGCTTGAGACAATTGGTGATATGGCTCAAAATCGTTCTCAATGGCGCAGATGCATCCACTCCTTGTGACTTATAATACCCAATAAAACTGTTGTTCTTCCATATTACTATTCTTTTTGCCTCATATCTCTATTTACTGTCTCTTTTTTGCATTTCTTTTTACTTTCTTCTCTTGCTTTGTGTGCTAATTGAAGTGTGGCGACTTGAACTGCTGCACATTGGTGCAAAGTTCTGTGTTGAAACCAGTCAGTCAGTCCATGAATGATATAATTGTCTCCCCTGACAGCCTTTGTCGTGATTGGTTGTTAATTTGCATCAATACTAATCATTTTTATTGACTTGGAGTTTGATTTTCTTGTTATGTGACTTAACCTTTGTTAGTTGGTGTTTCAATCGGTGATTCGTCTGAGTAACTAGGCTTCTAAGAATTCTCTGGCACTTATAGTTATTGCAAGGTTTAAAATTTCTTCATTTTCCCAGTCAAATTGATGTCCTTAGCTGTCTGCATGTATCTATGTGAAAAAAATATGTCGTATCTTCTGATAGTTAATGTGTCTGGATATGGAGTCGAAGGGGACTCTCACTTTGACCAATATAATGCGTATCACATTTGACGCAGTTTGTTTTGTCAATGGTGTTGATCTTGTCTTCATTTGCTTTTGTATGTTTTTTAGTCTGTATACTATTAAATGAAGTGATAGTGTCGGTTTGTGTACCATATCTATCTATTAAAAACATAGTACTGTATTATTTATAAATTAACATATGTTGACTGTGCAACATAAAACCAGTAAATTTGGTTTGGAATACTATTCATAGCTTAAACCTGATGATTAGACAGAAAGAGTTTGATTACAAGATGTGAAACTCTCATTTATATATATATATATATATATATATATATATATTATTCCTTCACGTTCCCAGTGGAACATAGGGCTTCAAGCTAGAGGCTTGAAGTTTCTGTAGCAGTGTTTATTTTTACAGGATGGGGTTGCTAGCCTCATGCCTAACCTTTCCTCTTTACCAGCTTTTATTTCTGGCTTAGCGAGGTAAAGGAGTGCGTCGACCGGGGATCGAACCCCAGACCATGTGCATGGTCGACGCGCGTCCTAACCGCTATGCCACTGACGCATATATATATATATATATATATATATATATATATACCTTTAATATTTTCTGCTTTGATCATTTCCCTGGAAAAGGTCAAACCAGTTTGCCGAATGAAACGTTGGAGTCACTTGTCTTAATATCACTAAAATTTCTACAAATCTATCATTTTATATATGATAACCTTTTACTCAGCGCCCACCGTTTGAGAAACTACTGAGCCAGCTGTTGATCAGTAGTTCATGCGTTGCTTCAGTAACTAATCTTTAAAAAACGCCATAGGTTTGTTATCATAGTTTTACAGAGACTTAATTCACATCTGGATATTTCTAGATAAAACTTCTGTCTGGTGTCAGTGTCTAGATTCCCGAATATCTGTGTGGTTCTTGCTTTTTTTGCATTACGATATTTACGGTCTTTAATTCACTTCAAATTAACACCACAAGTAATCATTTGTCATGCCTTTATTTTTAGATGTTCCTGCGTCTGGAGTGTATTTTCTCACTTACGAATGGATAAAGGAACTACTACGAAATCCATACGCCAAGTAGGAAGCACATTCTATAATTTTTTTTGAATACTGTTTAAAATTACTCATAAAATCACAGAGTTGTAAATATTAAACAGTTCTATTTTCTAGAATATGTAAACCTTTCAGTGGGCAATTTATAACGTACTGTTTTCCTTCTGAAAGACACTTATACAGCCGTAGTGATTATAGATATTCAATATTTGGTGTTTCTAAACTGTCCCGACATATTTATAAATAATTGGGAGCATAGAGCTGCTGGAACGTTTAATTCCGCTCCGTGGTTATTGTGGAGATATGTAGATAACTTATTTACTCATATATCTGGGATATACTATAGTAGGCAAGTTATGAAGTCATTGATATGATTATGAGCAATAAATTATGCCCGAAACGTGATTCAATTATTAACACTCTATGGCTGTGTGTTGTATCAAATGAACTTATCTAATACAGATTTGCAATCCACAGAAATGCCCAAATTCTGCTTTTAAAATAAGGTGTTCTTAACCTCTAAACTATGAATTTTTACTTCATATTTGGTCCACATTTTTTCGGTTCGGCTAAAAGTAGGTAGTGAAGAGGTCACTTTCTTTAGTCAAATCACTCACCTTAGAAATCCCATCAACTCTCGTTGTCTAATGATCAACCAATTCTCGGTACTTGTAAAAAGTTTCGTTTAACTCCCGTACTGATGATGAGTCCCAAACTAGGATGAAACGGCTGTCCAGTAATTCCTGGTTTTCAGTGGTTCTCTTACTGATATCAGCGTCGGTGGCATAGCGGTTAGGACGCTTGCCGGCCATGCACATGGTCCGGGGTTCGATCCCCCACCGACGCACCCCTTCACCTCGCTAGGCCAGAAACAATGCTGGTGAAGACGAAAGGTTGGGCATGAGGCTAGCAACCCTATCCTGTAAAATAAGCACTGCTACAGAAACTTCAAGCCACTAGCTTGGAGCCCTATGTTCCACTGGGGAACGTGAAGGAAAAAAATCCCGTAAATTCTCCCTAGCTTTGGTAAGATATCTGGTTCCCCGTTGGGATTATGCTCCCCCAGCGATATGAATTATCCCACAGTGATATCGTGAAACATGACCACTGGAGAAAAAAAAGTTTCTAAATCTTTGTGGCATTCAGAAGACAAACATCGCAAGGTGATATCATTTCGTAGTTCAATCTACAGTCGCTTTATAACTAGCATGTATAAACAATTATTCAGTCGTATAAAACAAAAGTACATACTAATGACCAATCATATTTTAATAGGTCAAGTAGTTCATGGTTAGGCAGAGATTGAAGTCTATTGATTTTGTCCAAATAGTTTGGGATGTTTACGATTAATCTAAAATGCTTCCATCAATTTTAATAACCTTGACTTTACCTTCAATTATACGAAATAAAAGAGAAGTGGTCATTAATATTGATTTTGTGACCTGACATTAATAAATGCTTTGTAATGGATTATGATGGATTTCTACTTAGATTGAGTACATTTAGGTTTTTCCATGTAACTTAATAACCATCATTTAGGAACATGTTCATTTCTATGACACTGAAACATTCCATTGGTTCTACCTATATGTGTGTCACCGCAACTGCATGTGAACCTGTAGCTACATTGGGAATTAGAGTCCACAGAATTTCATCCTTTAGTTGTAGGTACAGGAATCAAAGCGTAGAATATTCGCTTGATGGCTAACCAAAGCCTCTGAGCTGACAGTTGCATGATTCGATCACCCTTAACTGGTAGTTTAATGAAGATAGCTTTCTTTGGTACAGAAGCTGTCTTTTCAAGGGGTAGTCTCTCCTTACTGAGACATCCGATGAAGTTTTCAGGATAATCATTAGCCAATAAAACTGAATGTATGTACTGTAGCTTATCCACTAATGTGTCACTCGTCAAATTCTATAGGTCCTTGAAAACAAGCATTTCACTAAGGGACTTTTATACTAGATAAGAACAAAACTGCTGAAATCAAGATACTGTCTGCTCCATGTCTGCTTGCGAAATATGGACTGCTTAACTGTTCCGTTGTCCCTTCTAGTCATTGAAATATAAGCGTGGAGGGGACCAGTATTATTTACATTCATTAAAGAGCAGTAATTTCAATCCCTCAATTTTTATTGATATTAAAATTTTGGTTTTGTTTATTTCTTTCTCTTTTCGCAAAAGTAATGAATTGGGTGTTGGAAAAACGCTGTTCGCCGGTGGAATGGCAGGTGTCTTCAACTGGGTGGTAGCTATTCCTCCAGATGTTTTAAAATCTCGTTTACAGAGTGGTATGTGTATTTCACGTTGAATTACAAATTTTCATGTATCATTGGTTACTTTGAAATGAACAATTGTATCATATTTAGATTCGTTAAAGAAACAAAACGTCGAACATCAGTTAAGCATATTCTTAGCTTGTTGATAAGATTTAATTAAAAAGTTAGTTAATTATAATAAATTGCTAGTCATATAAGTAATGTGGTTGAAGTTTCTCGAAAAATGGACAAAGATATTTAGTAACGTAAGCTTATTCTTTTTACCAACTTTCCATTACATCTCATCATCAAGCTATGAACATCTTAACTACTGTTCGACATTTATCTCCTAAACGAACTTAAATATGTTAAATGTATTCACTTTGGTTGCTCAGGCTATAAGTAGTGTACTGGACATTGGTGAAATAATATGGATCAATTTTATCCTGTCCCATTAGTTACTACTCTTTTATTCTAATGGATCCGTTCAGTTATACTATACAGCATAAATACGGCTATCCACTGCGATCCAGTCAAGTAGGGATTTCTCTGCTCTAGCACTTAGTACTATTCCTTCACCTGAAAGTCCTCACGAACTAGCCGAAGAATGTCATGACACCCTGTTGGCCAGGTGGTGGTGGGTGTCTTTAAGATACAACATACATCCATGACTTCAGATGCCAGAGTTCTAGCTAGTAAAACCTTGTTGTGCAATTTGGCAAAAGGCTCTGACGTTAAATGCTCCAATACGAAGTTGGCAGAGTAGTTTTAAGAGACTATCAGTTATATTTTTCCGTATCTTGTCGCTACTTGTGGTCGCATACAGAAGGTTAGAGACCTGTCTGTGGGATAATATTGGCAGTAAGAGGAAAACAAGATAATGAAAGTGATGGGATTAAAGGTAGGAGACGATCAGAAAAGTTTTGTTTGCTTATGGAAGTATGTGGGCGGTTATTACTTCCTCGCTGCTCACACCATGGAAGTTGGTTTCTTCTTTGGACGCCTGAGACAGGAGGAGCATTAGTGAGGCGTGACCACAGAACCCAGGGGACAACTGCTTAGGAGGGTTTAAAGTGGATTTTGGAATTGCGTTGGTGTTAAGATCTTATCACTGGAGTCAACGTTTACTAACCCCCACTCTCCAGAACTGAGAAGCAGCTTAGCTGGCTTGCTGGTCATCTGGGGGGGGCACCTCACTACTGTTACATCCCTATTCGCCAGCAGTACAACTTCGCCCACAGACCCCCAACATAGTGTAAACAACTTAGATTACGATGGTAACTGTTTGTGGTCTAATCGCTATCTAACGGTTTCTTTTATGGTAGGACCTGCAGGAATATTATTTACACCCGACCGATAGCGACGACTCACCGAACTACACTGGATGGAATTAGAGTAACTAGAATTTGTTTACTTTCACATAGAACTGTTTGGTATGAATAATACTATCCGCAAATTTCAAATAACTTAATTCACCCAGACCTCAGAAGTTATCAACGAAAAATGCTTCATCCAGCATGAATATAAGTCTTTCTTAGGGCTTTCTATGTTAGTCTGCTAAATTTCAGGATGGTGACATAAGCATATTGCGTCAAACTTTCATACGTCAGTATAACCGATTACCCAGTGGCTGAATGCTCTACGAGCTTGCCTTGTAACCGGCAGGCCCTGGATTCGAAATCCGATGGGTGCGTACTTCAGATGAGTCCCAAACTAGGACGAAACAGCTGTCCAGTACTCCTTGGTTTTCAGTGGTTCTCTAACTGATATCAATCCGTGATCGAACGTGAAACAAATCAAATCCCTACAAAGAGACTTTTTAAAATTATTCTTTGCTTGTTAGACTTCAATCAGCATAGAAATCGTATCATATGTGTAAATTCTTAATATATTAGGATTGAATTATTTATGTGATTTATATTAGACATAGTATTTCATCGATGGTAATAAACACATATGACGGAAGTGCAATTAGTGTTCGTGTTTGTTTTTATCTATAAGGTAAACTAAACTTCTAATTTCTCAAATTATCTATTTCATATATTTGGTATTGACAAATTGAACAAAAAAATATATCATTTATAAATTCTGGTGGATTTATAGGCATTACATTTTGTAACATTTTGTGTAACAGTTTCCAGTTCCACCTGTATATATAAAAACTGTTATTTTTCATGTGCACTGTGTATTTTGGTGTAAATTTTATTTTACTTCTTTCACATGTTGTCCACCGTCACAGTGACAGATTTAAACACACCACCGATCTTTCAAAACATTAAAATCACCACTGTATTTTGTATTATGAAGAGAATTTCCTGAATAAATTAAAGTATTTGTGGTACAGACTAGTCCTAGGGTACTTACATTTACTTGATGTTAGTATTTTTAATGTGCCTCGGTGGTTAACTGGTAGAATACTCATGGTCTGGATTCGATTCCAGGTGGACGCACTCCTAAACCTCACTTAACCCGGTAGTAAGCCCGGCTAAAAAGGACAGGTTGGGGGTGTGAGGCTGGTAACCTCACTCCGGAAAAAATAAACACCACTGCTGCCGAAACTGCAAAACTCAAGCTTGAAGTTCTATGTTCCACTCGGAATACATTTCTGCAGTGCTATAGATTCATACAGCCACATTAGATTGTTGGCTGGTATACTTCCTAGGGAAAGTAATTCCTGATACATTGAGAGCTAACATGGTCTCCTTTAAATTGATGAAGAGTTTGAGCGTTGAAAACACTGACATTGTAACTTTATGATATACTTTTCCTATAAATTTAAATAGTCTCCAACAGTAGGATTCATATTCTTTGTGAGGAAATGAGACTGATCACTTGGGTCTAGAAATATCAACCGGAAATGACGAATATAAGCGAATAGTAGTTCATATTTGTCCATTTAAGTTGATAATTGTCAATTGGGTTTCATACACTGTAGAAATTTCATTTCTTGACAATCATTGGCACAAAAGTTGATATTTTGAGGAGCGGAGAAGGATTTAGTATGTTGTATAAATGCCGATAGGAGAGGACATCCGTCTGAAGCTAAATATTTGAATGGAGAGAGAAGAGTTGTGCCTTTCCAACAATAACATTTTCGAAACCTGTCCAGTAATATTAATGACTGACAGAAACGGAATCAGTTATTAACATTATGTTTAGAAAAATCTAAGATGTTACTAAAATTTAAGAGATTTTATATAATAACTTCGAAATAGATGATTCAGTGCCTTTACTACGTCAGTCCAAATATTGAATGATATTGAATTCTCTACATGTTACTCGTGTTACGCATGCCGACCCAGCACCTTCCTTGACGAACAATGTTAGCTGACATAGGGTTAGGTTGGGGTGGTCAAACCAGATATCAGTCCATGGGGTCTTTGACAGTTGTTCTGAGCTACTCAAGGAGGTGTAGGCCGCCCGGTTGGAGTTCTCAAGATGACAAGAACCAATGGCTCTGCAGACTATTGATGATATGGCTCAAAATAGTTCTCAATGTAACATAGTCCACAAATCTGTGCATAAATGCTTTCCCATGGATTTGAAATCTCACGTGAACAAAATATAGCTCACATTTCAATGTGATTTCAATGAATCATTTCAGAACTTAAATGTACAAAATAATAATTGATCTGAGAATCAGCTGACTAGATTTATACATGTCACTCATCCTTCAAATAATATTTATGCTTTGTACTCCGATGTATAAGTAACAGCAATTACGTATTACTCTACACCAGCTGCGCATAACTTGAAAAGCTCCACATCCAACCACACTCAGTATAACACCTAAAATCAGTCTGTTGAAATGATAACTGAGTTAATAATTTCTTTGGAATTAGTGACATTTAAGATGATAATTGTGACTATAACCCACTTCCTCTTTACTTGTTCTATATGTGAGAAGAAAAAAAAGCATCACTTGACTGAACCACATTAAGTTTGGTAATGTTATTATTTATTATACATGTTACAAAATCATTATGATTAAAATAATTAAGGCGTGTATTGATTATTGATAAGCTCAGCATTACACATTTATGCAATTGATTAATTAATTGTCCTTAGTTGACAAGAGTGTAATGTAAGGGCGTTACTGATAGTGGTGGTCGAACTGTTAGGAGTTTTATTCTCTTACTCAAATATGTTCTGTGTAATTGCTACTCAGACTTCTGCATTAGTCAGCAGTTTAGCTTCGCATTTGTTCACGCGCATATTTGATTTATTTAGATGCCACAGTAGATCTTCTGTCGAAAGTGTATCAGCTGAAATCAATAGCACTAGACGACAAACTGGAAAAAGTTGAAAATATTGGGTTTTCATCTGGTAACATTGACTTCTAACTGACAAAGAGTCACAAACTAGCGGTCCATGACTATCAGGGATTCTCTCTTATTTGACGTTCTGTAATGGTATTCTTTCCAGAAAAAATTGATGAAATCCTAAGATCTATTTACTTGGATATGCAAATTCCTTCATATATTCAATTGTAGATAAAACGTATGACTTGCTCATCACTGAAATTGACCAACGTACATGAGATTGTCACAGATTTTAGTGGGAAACAAATTAACCTTTCACTCATATGCTATTATGGACAAGCAACATGATTGCGCAATAACGTTGGGATTGAAATACGATAGGTTTGGGCTGCCGACACTGGACACACACTCTGAACATGAATACCGCTTGACTACGCCAACAACATTATGCGATATCCACCTGTTTCCCCTACCCCTCTCTGCTTAAGCAAGAACACACAATGGCGTGAGACAGAAGCTATATTTATCCGTTTAAGAAAGTAAGAAGTCAGTCAATCAAAGGAAACAATGGTATATGTAGATGTATATGTGGCTAATGGCGTTACAAGAATGAAAAGATAGCTAGTAAGGATACTTGCTGGCCAAGGACATAGACGTGAGTGAAAGTATCCAGACTACCTTGATCCAATCTCAACATAAGCATATGACATACTTGACTACACATCATATGCACATTAAATGAGTAGTAACCGATTTTCTATTCTAGATAAAGCAAAATATAGTATCATATTGTGTTATTCTGAATTGAAATAAGCATCTGTTGGCTGATATTCAGTCATTTAGTTCTGTTTGAGATTCACCGGTTGTTTTTTGAATTCTTATTCGTCGTTAGAATGGGACGCAAATCCTTGTCTTCTGTTGTTGCTTCTAATGAGCTTGTTTTACAAGAATCATTCAAAATTCCAAATAATGAGGGAAATTGGGTCAAAAATAACGATTTTCTCATACTTATACTTTGAAGGTGGTCGCACTTGAAACATTTATCAAATATTGGTTGGTTTGCAGGGATTTAACTGGTTACAGGTTCGACCATGAGTTTGACATCAGTTATCGAACCATTGGGAAACCAAGAAGTACAGAACAGCCGTTTCGTCCCCGCTCAGGACTCTTCTCAGTGCACACTTGCTGGGGTTCGGACCCAATTTGCTTGGAATCCATGGACCATTGAATCGGGTCTCAGTGTCTGAATGGTTTACGAGCTCGCCTTCTAATCGGAAGGGCCTGGGTTCGAGGGCCGGTGGGTATGTACTGCAGAAGAATCCCAAACTAGGACGGAACGGCCGTCCAGCGTTTTTCAATGGTTCTCTAGCTCACATCAGCTTGTGATCTCAGATATTATTATATCGCTTTATTAAATACTATATTGCTTAGATGTAAACTTGAAATATCTACTGTTTTGGGTAACATGTCTTTTATTATTGTACTGGTTGGAGCCATTTTTCATTAGTCTTCATGTAACTATATTTGTGGTGCTTAACTGAAATAATTCACTTCCATGTATGCATCTCCTCTATTTACAGCCCCTGAAGGTACCTATCCAAATGGCATTAGATCAGTATTCTCTGAACTTATTGCAAGAGAAGGATTTTTCGCTCTCTACCGAGGAGTCACTCCTGTTATGCTTCGTGCATTTCCTGCAAATGCGGTAAGTTTATTCATTTCTGCTTTATTTTTGATCACTCCTCACGAACCTTATAAATTACACACCATGTATATTCTGTTACTGATGTAACAGTTAATATCCTTCATTGTTTAGCACGATAATGGCAACTTTGCATGCACAGTTATGCTACTTTGCCTCCCTGTCATGTGTAGAAAAGGATATTATTATCTTTTAGTTTTTCGTAAATGGTTCCTTGTTCTTTGCCACTTTTACAAATAAACGGTAGGGCCTTGTGAAATTATTTATAAGTGCCAATATTCTTTTAGCTGCAGGGTGAGGATCAAAGCAGTCGCGAAGAGTTTTTTGCGTGCATAGTGTAGCAAACGCCAAAACAAACTTTCCAGCTGTATAAAAATATTGATAATACACCTTTAACACAGCCAAATGTTATGTCTAATATGAATACAGCATCTTCTAAGCGTGTAATGCAAAATCACTACCTTAGGAGAATCAAGTAGTAATTGACCGCCTGAAACTATATACTACTGATGACTTGAGATGAGTAGTTGTATACCACTCATACCAACCAGTAGTGCCTGCCAGTCAGATCGTTCGGGGTCGAAGTCCTCGTCAGTGTACCCAGTTTGACTGAGCTCAGAGAGTCTAATCAGTTCAAACCGCAATTGACGGCCTTCGTTTAACCCATTTCCGTAGGCTGAGACGAAAGTGTGGCAAGTTTAGTTCGCTGTAACTCATATACTCATTCAACTCTGTCTTCCACCATTAAAACTAAGAACTAATCGTATGCAAAACTGACATTCCTTCTAGATTACTTTTATATTAGAATAGTTGTATGTAGGAAATGTTTTTGCACACACACACATTAAGTGCTGTTGAACTTCTATAGAATTAACTGAACTAGTGCGTTAGTTTGATCTCTCAAGCTAATTTCAATTACTGTGAGTCACATGATTCAAATATTTAACTTTTTTCATTTAACTATCAGAATGGATTTGACGTCAAGGTCACTTGATGACGCAATGCCATAACCCTGCAACTTATCTTTGCGCTCTACTAATTCCAAGTTAATTTCCTCGCCACCCCACCCCGTGGCGTGAATGTTAAATTTTTTTATCCTTCACGTTCCCCAGTGGAACATTGGGCTTCAGGCTAGTGGCTTGAAGTTTCTGTAGCAATGTTTATTTTACAGGATGGGGTTGCTAGCCTCATGCTCAACCTTTCCTCTTCACCGGCATTATTTCTGGCTTAGCGAGGTAAAGGAGTGCGTTGGCCGGGGTCCGAACCCCGGACCATGTGCATGGTCGGCGAGCGTCTTAACCGCTATGCCACCGACGCCCCTGATGTAAAATAAGTGTATAAAAATATGATTGTAGGATCCACTCATTAAACGAATGTGTTAATTCAGTAATGATGATTAGGAATAAGTTTGTCTAAACATTTTTAAACAGTTATACCATTGATTACAAATTTGCTTCCTTTTTTTCTTATCTAGGCATGTTTCCTTGGTTACGAAGTTGCTCTAAAGTTTTTGGACTATGCGTTTCCAAATCTGTAAAATACTCACTCACTACTACTGCTCAGATTATTACTTCCAAACAAAAATGGTTGTCATCGAACCGTTAGTTTCTAGCTATCATCAATCGATTGGCTTTCCATTGAGTTTGCCTATCATACTTTGTATAATCTTTTCTTCCTGAAAATCTTGAAATACATCATGATGGTTGTGATAGTGATTCATTATAATAATCGATTCAGTTTTGTAATGTTATTGACATTGTTTTAGAATACACTTTATGATCAGGCATACCTTCAGAGTATGGCTGTAGTGTATGGAAGGTGTTGTTTCATTCTGTTTTTTTTTTAAATCGTATGACCATTGTCGCTGTATTTAAAGAAAGAAAGAAATACTGTTACGAGAAATAGCATTTTGGATAAGAAATGTAACAATAGCTTTATTTGTAGGCTGCACTACAGACTTTTCGTTTTGACTTCAATAGGAAAGCATTTCTGGTTTTTTTCTTCCATGATAGAAGCTGAATTGTAATGGTTCCAGATTTTTCTGGGTAATCAAATCTAGACGACAGAATATACCGTAATTCTCCACTACATAATTATAGAGGCTTATACAACTAAGGATAGTGAAATCGTGAAAGTCCCAAAAGGATCTCTGATCAAGTCAAAATAGGATCACATCAATACATCATTGGATAGGGTCTACACATGCATCACTCAGTTCATCTTACATAACCGAATATAAAATAGCTTTGGATGGACCACCCTACAAACATGTAGACAATAATGTCGTCTTCAGCAGATTTTGATGGAGTGATTATCAAGGGTATGACTGATTTCTGCTACAACATAATGAGAAGTATTCGTTCTATATGTGTGTTATAAACTATAGTCGATTTGTTCAAAAGTCCTTTGGAGACGAGGCAATTGTGTGGTGCAGAGATTTTATTGCATTTCGTGCATAATGATGCCTGTGGATTTATTTTTAGTAGTAACTTTTCTATCTCAAGGTAAATGGGTACGTAGTGAGCAGATTAATGTGTCAGTTTTGCAAGCACAATGAAATATGATATAATCTTACGGTATATACCATTGTTAGCGGATGGGGCTGTTTCCATTAGGCATGAATCCAAATTATCTGACTGTGGGAAGTACTGCTGACATAATAGAAGACAACACACAATAAGTAGCCATTCAGTTGATTATTAAGTTATAGTATGGCAAATACGCGGTATTTTGATAAAGAGTTTAAGGTGAATATAAAAGAATCGTTCAAGTATTGGTTTGTAAGGATTTGATTGATTGGTTACAGGATTTCATCATGAGCTGACATCGGTTAGAGAATTTCTTGGGAGTACTGGACAGCTGTTTCGTCCCAGTTTGGGACTCTTTGGCACCACGCACCCACCGGGGTTCGTACCCAGGACCTTGTTATAAGGCAAGAATCATATTCGTAGTGTGAATAAGTGGTTATTTTCCTCCTGTGTACGGTAATAAAACAAAAGTACAAGGTTTTAGTAGACATAAGAAGAGGTGTCGCACAATTCAACTCTTATACTCGATGTGCTGTGTCAGACATCTTAGACTGCCCACCACCCATTTGCATTGTATTTGAATACTACCTGTCCATATTTACAAGACAGTAAGGTACTCAACCATCAATGTATGCCCGAGTGCCCAATCGATAATTCAGAAATAAAGCTGAAGTTTGTTGCGAGTAGTTGCACCTTTACAAGCCTTAGAGTCTCTACCGAAACGGTCGATACAATACGTTGAGGTTAGTGATACGGAAATTGGTCTCCACAGATCATTTGTTGTGGAAATAACAAGTGAAAGGTATTATATATACGCCCTCAAAAGGTAATGTATTAGACATTGGTTTTTGAAATCACGATTGCGTAAAACCCACCACTGTTCCAATATCCTGATTACGAGCTAGTATAAACCAGTGATTTCTTTGAGCTCGCTTCTTGATTGTAAGGTAGAGGTTCCAGATCTTCGGTGAACTTATGCGTAGTAAGTCCCGCCACTCGACTGCTTTAGCTCTGGTAGACTCCAAGAAGAGTGTTTCGGGGATTGGTCAAAATGTGGTTTGTAGTGTGCAGTATGTTAGGACTGAGTTGCTGCCGTGAATGGAGTTTGACCTAATTCCCGTTGGTCATTCGGTGTAGTCATAAAAGCAGAATAGTAATAATAGGTTGTAGTGTAGATAATATAGGTTGAGATGAGTGAAATAATAAAGGTGACCTAAGGAAAAGATAGAGTATTCGGTACAGTGAGAGAGGACAGAACGGGTCGTGGGGATTTAGCTTGTATGCTTGTCCATTGACAGTGTGGTTTCAAATTTTAAGAGGATAAGCCATTGAGACACAAACCATGCATTTCTGCATGATTGTCCAATTTCCGCTTAAAAGTCTTCACAGATGGCGCTGTAGTTACGGCCGCCGGCAAAGCGTTCCAGAGACGGCAAACTCGAAGCGAAAAGAAATGTAAACGCACTCGAGTCTTTGGTCTCTGGTGTGCTATCCTTAGCGGGTTACCTCGTGGAAGCCTATAATCACTTAATGGCAGGATGCTCTTATTAGGATGGGCCTGGTCATTTGAGATCTTATAGACGGTGATGAGGTCTCCCGTGTGACTACGGTAACTAAGTGTGAAAAGACTTAATTTCTTCAGTCTTTCCTCATATGATTTGTTGCGGAGGCCAATCACCCATTTTGTCGCTCGTCTCTGGACACTTTCTAGAATGTTAGCATCCCTTTTGAGTAGCGGAGGAGCAATGATATTATGCACCTCAAGGAGTGGCCTCACGTATGTCGTATACAACGTTAGGAATAGTTCAGGAGTAAGAGCTCCCAGCTGCCTATGCATAAAGTGTAAAGTTGCGAAAGCTTTGGCGACGTCCCTCATGTAATTTACACTGGTGTCTAGCTTTTCTGTTAAAATAAGGCCTAGATCGCGTTGTGATGGCACACAACTCAAGTTCTGGCCACCAAGGGTGTAATTTGCACTCTGTGACCTGCCGGAATGAAGTTGCACTACTTTGCACTTCTTCAGGTTGAAAGGCATTCCGTTAGCCAGAGCCCAGTCTCCCAGAGTTTGCAGGTCAGCCTGCAATCTGTCGGAGTCTTCCGATGAGTTTATTGCTCTCCAAATCTTTACGTCGTCAGCGTAAAGAAGCTCAGAGCAGTTCAGTTGACAAGGCAGGTCGTTGATAAAAATCAAAAACATCAACGGCCCTAAGATAGAACCCTGAGGAACCCCTGATGCCGAGGTGTGCCAGGATGATCGGATGCGGTTGACTTTGGTGCAGAATTCTCTCTTGCCTAAGTAATCTTTGAGCCATGCAAGAAGTGCTCCAGAAACACCCGCTTTGCTTATTTCGTGAAGGAGCAGACCATGGTGAACTGTGTCGAATGCTTTCGCAAAGTCGAGAAAGATCTCATGGACTGGTACCTTCACGTCCCAGGATAGTGTCCAATCGTTCCAAGCTAGTAGAAGATTCGTCACACAGGATCCTCCACTCCTGAGACCGTGCCGTGCTTCATGGAGTAGGTTAGTCCCGTCGAAGTATTTTCTCATGTGGTCGTCAATGAGACTTTCCAATATCTTCGATATCACTGGAAGTAGCGCAACTAGTCTGTAACTGGTCGCATTCTGCCGGTCACCACCTTTGAAGATAGGGGATAGGATGGCTTGTTTCCATTCACATGGAAGTTTCCCTACATCAAAGGAGTGTTGAAACAGATCACTTAGGGGTTGGCAGAGACTTTCTGAACACTGTTTCAGGACGGATGGTCTCATGTCATCGCAACCTGCAGACTTTCCCGAAGCCAACTTTCCCAATTTTACGAGTACCATAGCCGGGGTAATTTGAAATGTACCCAGCAGGTTTTCGCAAGTTGGTATTGCATTGCAATCTTGATGTTTTGTGGGGGTAAAATCCTCATTACTGTTCAGTTGCCTGTGAAAGGCTAGACTGAATGTCTCTGCCATTTCAAGACTAGTAAGAGATTTCCCATCAGAACCCACTAGATTGCAAGCTCCCTGGTTGGTCGGTTTTCTTTCAGACATAAACGTGTATAGGCTTTTGGGGTTCACGAGAAGCTTATTGGTGAGGTTTCTCTGAAATGTCCTTCTATCACTCCGGACTCGTATGTTACATCGATTCCTGAGTTTGAGGTACACTTCATGTTCGGGTTGACTCTTTGATACTCGCCGCGCAAACCAGGCTTTTCGCTTCGCCCTTAGAAGGCGTTGTGTCCCCCTTTTTAGCCATGAACGTTGTTTCCTAGCTTTTGGTGTGACTAAAGGAATAGTGTCTGAGACCGCCTGGTGAATGATCTCCTTTACCACTCCCCAGTGTTCTTCTACTGTAAGCTCTGTCCAAATTTTTGGCCAATTTGCTTCAGACAAAAGTCTCCGCATTTCGGCGTAATTGGCCTTGTTATAACACCGATAGGGCTGTGTATTGTCCCACTGTAAACGCTCGCGGAGGACTATGTCGAATACTATGACCGCGTGGTCAAATCTATCATGGGCATATCCCGTCATCAAGTTAAGAGATGGGGCGTTGAAGTCGCCAGCTATGACAATTTGATCATAACCCATGTCTTGTGTTGCTGAAATTGTATTCAGCAGTACCTGGTTGTGGTCTGCTCCACATGAAGGTGATTGATAAATGCTGCCCACTAGATATTTACAGTACCCAACGGTCAAATGGCACCATATGGAGTCAGGGAGCTCAATGAGGGGAGGGTCCATTGCATGGAAAAATATATATTATTATTACCTGAGCTGTTTGTCGACGTATATGGCGACTCCACCTCCTTCTTTCAGGTCCCTATATCGCCTGACTAGGACCATATCATTTATACTGACTTCGCTGTCTGCCACCGTAGGGGTTAGCCAGGTTTCCGTCAGTATTATGATTTTGGAGTGCAGCTGTTATTGTAGGTATCTTAGTTCAGCTATTTTACCTCTTAGCCCTCTCACATTACTGAACAGGCAACTGGTAGTCAGTTTCACCACGTCCCCTTATTGGGGGATGGTTGACGTGATGTGAGCAGTCGGTTGAGGAGTTATCCTAGGAACTAGTTGGCCGATTCCCCGGGAACCGGCCTGTTGGCGTTTTTTCTTCTAGTTCAATCGGAGCACTTGAATGACACTGACTATCATCGTCCGTGCTGCACCATTATATTGTGACTAAGGGTTGGGGATTTTCTTTGACAACGCTTTGCTCTCTCCTTTGGATACGAGGCCAGCTCTCGCAGCAGCGAATGTGTCTACTGACCTTGTCCTTGGTCTCGTACCATCTCTAGAGA